CATGCCCATGGGCATGCCTCAAGTCAGGGGCATGCCCATAGGGCATGCCTATTTTATTACCCGTGCCCACAACCCTACGTGTAACATCGACGGTTCCTCCTGTTAGTCAGACCTGCATATCGATATATTAGCCAATAGGAAAAATTCAATCCACAACTTCAAATTAACGTTAGTCCTGAAAGATTTACTTATATTTTTTTTTTTTAAAAATGAGCTCCAAATTATCGAACTTTTTTGGTTCAATATTTTGTCAAGATTGTGGTACTTTACTTCTTAATACAGGAAAAGATTTTATTAAATGTCCTGCTTGTACGTGTCAGCATAATGCTACTGGTGTGTTTAACGAGCCTTGATTTTTTTTTGTGTTTGATTTCTAACTTTTTTTTATGAACATTGGAATATTAATAAAATAGAATATGAAGATATTGTGATAACATCAAAAAGTAAAGCAAAAACTTTTCCCTCAAAACTTCGGTCTCGCCATTCAAATGTTCAACAACTTGATAATTATAAAGAAGAAAGCGCATCGGTCAGTAACCAAATTGTTATTATCTATTAGTATATTTAATTAGTTCGTATTAATTGTAGTTTTTATGCGTATATTTGGTTTAAAAAAGATTAAAGAAAAATGTCTAAAATGTGGAAATGAAGAAATGAACTACCATACTATGCAGCTTCGTTCTGCAGATGAAGGACAAACTATATTTTATCACTGTACAAAGTGCGGGTATGTTATAATATTGTATTTATTTTAATACTGATTTTTTGAAAATTCATTATTCTTGATAATTTTAATTTAGATATAAGTTTTCTATAAACTCATGAAATAAAGTGTTGCTTAAAGTCTTCATAATACTCCAGCATATCTGATGATTGACAGCTAAAACTAGGTAGCAATTCTTATCCAAATGTTCAATTAGAGAAAAACTAGCAAAATTTGTAATGTAACCTTATGATCTAACGCTATGTAAATAAATACTTTATCCGTGGGAAACCAGCTTACTACGTATAATATGTATTTTTAATGACAAACAGATATATAGTAATTGAGATAATTGAGACTATAGTTATTAGTTATAAAATTTAACAAAAATTAATTATATACGTTTCATTTTTCACATTAAAAAAATGCCAGTAGTAACCAAAAACCCTTAGAATCGATTTACTAATAATTGGAGTGGCGTTTAGTTGCTACAGTAGGTTAAAAAAATAACGGTCTCAATTAACACTTAATTACCTTATCAATTTTATTAAATTAGAAATTTTGAAAATTGAGAAATATCAATCAATTCGCTATCTCTATTGCTTATTAACTTATTTACAATTATTATATAGCATGTTATAGGTAATAATATTCAAGTTTTTTATATTTGTTTACTTAAAAAATTATTATTAGTAACAAAAATTCATAACATAAAATATGAAACTACTGAAACAATAATGTACCATTTCGTGTAACCCGAGCTTCCGGACCTCGATCGGCTGGTTCGGATTCGGACTTCGGATTGACTTACGAAATGCTAATACAAGCATAATGCAAACTAGCTAATATTATGCAAAATTACGATCTGAGCAACTTTACTTAGCTTATCGGTTAGCGGGTTTATTAGTAAAATTCGCTAAAATTTGGTAATTTTCGGGCATAATTAATTGGGTCCGGAGGCCGGGTTACACGAAATGGTAAAATTTTTCGGACATCACTAACCTACTAACAATAATGCATATATGATAACTTTCTTATGATTGGTCGATCACATGAAATTGAATAACACGTTATGATTGGCCATCGGCGTAACATGTGAAAATCAACCAAACTACATTATCTTCGTAAATTTAATTCTTTATCGTTATCATTTCTTACTTTTATATATATACATTTTAAATATCTATCACGCCTTTTAAGAATCTATAGTTTATTATACGCGATTTTTGAACCTGTGCAGATAGAATAACTTTTTTGTATATGAAATTGAATAACACTACAATTGTTCTCTTTTTTTTTTAATTAATTATCGAATTTTTATTTAAAAAAAAATAATTTTATTAAAATTTTTAAATAAAAAATTATTGTTGTAATTCTTTGAGCTTTTGCAACAAACTATCAAGTACCGTATCTTCATTACTACCAATAATAATAATGTTATCATCGTCTTCATTTGCTTCAATTATAAACTCTTCTGTTATATTTTCTTGTGTCTCTCCCGTTATATTTTCTTGACCTCGAGTATCTTTTATATTTGTTTTTTTTTGTTTTTTTTTTTTTTTTTTATCTTTTTCTTCTTGTGTTTCCGTTAGATACACCAGTAACTGATCTATATTTACTTGTATTCCATTTTTCAAGAATTCGAGGCAAGGTAGACACTTTTGATCAATTTCTTCTAAACACTCTACATGATATTTATGACCGCACGCTAGTATTTTCAAATTAAGAGATAATAAATTAATGTAGATGTATATATCAGTTTTAGTACATAACGAATAATCACACAAAACAGATTGATTAGGTTTTTGTGAAGTGCTAAAACCTAGAGGAAGATGTTGAATATTTGCAACAATGCCAATAGCTGGCATTGATATATTAGTAGCATTCACAAGTTTTCTTTTCTTTTTTCC